CACCACCAACCACTTAAAAGAACATTTCAACTCTGATTTAACTTCTAGCTGACTAAGCCTTCAATCATAAAAAGATTAGGAAACTACATGCATACATACATACATATAGTCAACCATTCAAGAACGGATCATCTACAGTGCAACATCATTCTGCTAGAGCTGATGTTGAATTTTGTGAAAGCGGCTTGAGCAGCTGCTCAGTCCGTTTTGTTTTCAAGTCTCCTTTCTGTTTTCATTTTACATCTTTAATTTTTGTTTCAAAACAATTTGTTACTTTAGGATGTAGAATCGCTTGTTAGCGCTTTGGAGTTTATGGTTTAACTATTGTGAATGGTAGCCGATAACCTGAGAGCTAAACCCAATACCCTAAGCACTAAATGGATGATTTGAAGGCCCACCAAACAGGAAAACTTAACCCTAAACCCTAAAGCTAAGCTCTGAACAGGTGAAAAAGCAAAAATAGCAAACACACTCATTCCACCTTGAGTGAATTGAACAGTAGCTTAAACGATTTCCCAAACTACTAGGAGAATTTTGCACTGCCACTAATCTATCAGAATCCATGTTAATCATTACATCTTTTGATTAAACATCTTATTCAGATTTAGCTATGCTCTTTAGAGAAATTCAACCCACTACTAAAAGCATATTTACAGACAATGCAATTTCCATCATTCGGAAAGAATAAATTCATTCCAGTCATGACTGATGCTAATCTATAAAGGGATGCCTGTTCAATCTAGTGTGCAAACTGTACGGTGAGATTTGAACTTTCAATCTTTCAACTTAATTTTCAGTCAAGGATCTGCAAGTTAACAAATCTTATCTTCTCTCAGGAGATATGCAAGTTAACAAATCATATCTTCTCTCAGGGAAAGCAAAATAAAATGGCATAAATACCAGTAGAACTCTTACAATTATGAGCATAATTACTAATCATAATGCATTATTTTTAGCAGGAAACTAAAAGAAAAAAACCACTCGTAGGAAAACAACTGATTCAACCTCAGATACAAATGCAAAAATTAGGACTATACTGATCAAACATGGAGCAATTTTTTATCACCCTAGCCCAGTGAGGGTAAAACAGTAACTT